ATGCGTTTTAAAGGAGCAGTCTTGTACAATTTATTATATATATATAATATAAACGTATTATATAACGCGCTACCAAGGTTGAGAGTACCAAAATTATATTTATGAGTATTCCCGTAACCGCGGGACTACGTGCAGTTCCGCAGCACCCCACACTTTTCGAAAGGACCGGCTGCGATGCTGCTGATGCCACATGGCTCCGATTCTGGTAAATTTACGTTGTGTGTGAGCTGCTGACTGTCTGTAAAGGAACGCTGAGACATCTCAGAAGGGAAGCAAACCGAAAAGAAATCCAGTCGTTGTCGCAGGGAGCGCACACCAGCAAGAGATAGGTCGACAACGTTAAGCCTTTCGTCGCCGCTGCTCTCGTGTGTGGTACTTTTGAGACTTGTTTCCCGTCGTATTTCTGTCATCACCGTAATCTCGGGTAGTTTTTTTTTTTTTTGTGTGTTCGCTTGATACTACGGCATTTACGTGCATTCGTGAAACAAGTCCTGCTACGGTTTGAGTGACGTGTGACAACTAGCCAACGAAGGCTCTGGTCGACTAATCGATAGACCTCTCTCTCGACAAAGAGAGGCTTCTTGGAGTTCGTGTTCAAATGTGTTCGCCATGGATATTGTGGGATGCATGGATACGTTCGGTAGGTGAGAAACAACTTATTTACGGGCTTTCTTGTTCATGTAGGACGGAAGTAAGATGCTGCAATCGTTCTTTTTAATCGCATGATAAATTGCAATTTTGTTCCTTGTCATTATTCGTATGCAGTTGCGTCGACATTTGTAAATATGCGCGCTAATCTAGTTTTCACTGGAAGACGAAAATCAAGTTTGTGTGATTATTGAAAGTGAGTTGTTTGTGGTTCTGTGTTTATTTATACTAGAGTTATTTTATTGCCTTTTCCGCGTTTATACTAGAATCTTAACTGTATTAAGGTGATAGTATTATTATATACAAAATAAGTTATGTTTTGTTCTAAAGCAGCTCGAGCCCATAGGGAGAAGTAAATTAGTAGACTAAGTAGTAAGATTAGTACCCCTGCCACAGGGAAACGTTAATATATTTTCATTCAGTGATATAGGATTTAATCAGCTCGCGGCCTTGAGTGATTATACGAGCGCCGCAAGCGGATTTGTCGACCCTATAATGTAATTCGATCGAAATTACATTAATTTTGCCATGTGGCCGGGGTATGATGCAAGAATTCAGTGACTGCACGCGATAACGTCGCTTACATGATCGTGAGAAACGCTTGTCTTGCCTTGTCCGCGTTGACTATGTCTACCTGATTTTTAACTGTTCTGTTTTGCTGTTTCAAAATCACTGCGTGTCTCGCCATTTCGTCAAAGTATTTCTGTATAAAATATGCATTCCTACAACAATAATTGCATGACTCAATGTTTTCGACTTAAAACAATCACATTTTTCGATAGACGTCTTGTACGCATACCTCGTGCCATTCCGTACCGATTATTTAGCGGTGTAATATTTTGCTCGTGTAATAAAATGTTTTCTAGACCCGTTGCTATCTGCAGCTTTCATTTTAGCTAATATGACACGCGTATGTGACTAAAAACGCGTTACGACGGTCGATCTACGCGCGTTGCATTCGCTTCGACGCGCGCCCCCGATGGCCTTCCTTTGCGACGTCACGAGAAGAGCACTACGGCCTTGTCTTCTAGGAGGTGTTGGTCCACGCCACGTCACGCGAAGCCACCTGCCCGCGTCGCGTGTCCTGTCCCTCGCCCCCCCCCCCCCCCCCCCCCCCCCGAACGTCACAAGACCACGTGGTTTGACGTGACGTGGCCATGACTCTGACGACACGAGACCAATGTTGCCTGACTCAACCGAAGTTTCGGTTTCGGTACCAGCTGATGTTTAAATTAGGATTACACAAATAATATTCCACATTTCGCGAATCCGAAGACGTAGAGCTCTTTAGTAGTGCTTTGTGAAATGGAATCACATGTAAGCCTAATTTTTTTTGGAATTGAGCGGAGTTGCCATTTAAGGTTGAAAGTTACTTTATAGCGAAAAAAATCGGCGGAGTTCCTCTTCAAGCCTAATATTTAGCATGGCTCCACTGCACCTTTCTTTTCAAATTGTGCGTCAGCACACCTGCACGAACTGTAAGCATCAACTTTTAATGCGTTAGCATTAGAACGTCCGTCTTGACTAAAGTAACTGGATCGTTGGAAAGTAGCGCCAAGCTCCTCGTATGGTCGCCATTTTGGCCCTTGAAACGAACAATTTCTCCTTGACCTCTCCATCCTTGAGGAGCCGATCTTTTTGTCTGGTGACGGGTAGTTTTATTGACACGCTTCTTGTATACAGAGATTTTGCAATTCACACACCGGCGAAACAAACGTACCAAGCACCGACACCACACGCGGTGTCGGTGCTTGGAAGCATTGAAAAAATAATATTCCTGTTTTGAAATACGCAAGAGGAATAATATAATTGTAAAAGATCCGTGGTGATGGGCATGATTGGTAATTAAGTTGACTGCGTTCACAGTACCAAAGAGACGCTTATATTAAGGGGGGGGGGGGGGGGATTGTGGCCGAGTAGGCTAGCGCATACCAGCTCGGTGCACCTGGAGCGAAAGCTCGCGCTGCAGAACCCAGGGATCTTGGGTTCAATCCCCACCCCTGCCCGTTTCGATCTGGATGAGCATCGTACCGGCGTGCGGTCGTGTATCACTACTGCGTGATGCACGTTAAATACCCCAGGCTAGCGGTTGTACTGCACTGGCTAAATTTCTCATCTGCAGCGAGTGACTCGTAACCTACACGCTGTCTAAATATCCACACAACCCCCAATTATTTTAAGCTTATATTGGCGAAGAACGCCTTCAGTACGATGATGCTACATGGTGATTTGGTGCGACTGGTTTAGAAAAACCCACTCAAAGCTTCGAAGATATGAAGGGGCCGAAATGGCGATTGTCATGACAACGGAGACCGATTAGCAAATCGACTTGCGAGGTTTTGGCCGTCTGTATGTTAGCATTTGTTTGTGTTCGGCTATCAAGCAGGGAAGGTTAATGGCCCTACTTTCCCATGATCCAGTAACTTTATAAAGCCCCTCGATATGTTTCCGTTTGTCCTTCAATGGACCGATCTCACCAAGCGTTCCACGCATGCGTGACGCCGCCATAGAGGAGGCAGACGCCAGTTCACGAGATAGCTCATGCCGCCCCGTGCTCTGCTCGCGCAGACCTCCAGCGGGGTTGTCGCACGTGCAGGAAGACTACAGCTCCCACGATGCATGTCGGCAGCGGTGGCGTACTCAAACTAGCTGGTGAGGTTGGTCTATTGGCGTCAAATGCGCCAGTGCGCGAGGCCCGTGTCTGAAGCGGCCCTTGGAAACAAATGGCGGCGCAGCACTGAAATGAGCGGCCCTTGGAAGCGAATGACAACATTATTAGATTACCTCAGTCACCGAACTGCTCATAGACGCTGCTTTCACGAGCAGTACTTCCCCCCCCCCCCCCCCCCCCTCTCTCTCACCACGGCTCGCCTCCCGTTGTTCGACGCGCCGACGGCTGCGATGGGAACTGCACTACTTACGTTTCGAAGCGCATCGTCTAGATGGCGCACCACCCTACTCTATAAAAGAAACAGTTCTGAAACGAAAAGCTAGATGGCGCTTCAAACGACGAGAGGCCAGAGCCGTTTATACTGAGAGAGTTTGGCCTTCTTAAGGAGATTTTAACAGTCTGACAACCACAGCAGCGTAGTCTGGCAACCGGGGGATGACTACTTCCGTCCGCCATATTGTGGATCTGACTCATAGGAACTCTACGCGATTTCTCAGGAATGAACAAGACAAAGAAGTATCGCCATATTGTGTTATTGCGAAATCCGCTTGTTCTAGCGGCCAACAAGCTCCGCCCATCGGCCAAACTCTCTCAGTATAAACGGCTCTGCGAGAGGCGAACTGAAGTGAGTGCGGGGCTGTACACTTTTCCGCGGGAGTTCCACAACTGAGGTAATCTAGTGACGTTGGCGAATGGCGACGGAGCGCCCGCTCGTGGCACGCGTCTTGCGCGTTTCCACAACAATGGTTGGCGGTACTTGTGTTGTAAGCGTGAATTTTATCAGGGGACTTTAGTTTGGACGAAAATCCGGCAGTGTCTTTCCTGGTCTTTCGTTTGTCAGCGCGGGGGAGAGAGGGAGAAGGGGGAGAGGGTGACGCTTGCGACGCTCTCATTGGTCCGAAGCGCTGACGTCAGCACGCGTCAACCTCTCCCTCTCTCCCCGGCGCTGACAAACTGACAAATACCTCCGGGTTTTCGTCAAAGTCACGCACAGAGCTGGAGCGGAGCCAGAGAGAAGGAGGCGCCGCACAACAACCCCCTGGATAACAAAACTGTAGTGCTGAGTGAGATGGCGTGATCAGAGAAGGCCAACGCTGAACACAGATTGGAAACGAGTGCTGCGTCAGCGCTCGGCTTCGAGTCAAGTTTGAAATTTGAGCCGAACGTTGACGCAATCGTCCTGTCCAATCTGTGCCCAGCGTTGGCCTTCTTTGATGACGCCATCTCATTCAGCACTACGGCTTTGTTATCTAGGAGGTGTTGGGCCGCGACGCGGTGGAATGCGGGCGTGCTCAGTGTCCGCTCTGCTGTCGCTGGTTGTTCTTCGCTCTGGGTTTCCGTAGCAGCGGTGCGTGGGCTGTGATGTGTACGTGTAGTTAAAACGATGGATGCGGTTCCTTTTACGACTGGTATGAATGTGGTTCTTTCCACGAGTGATATGGGTGACCGCATCCAAGGGTGGCGACATACTCTGACAGGCCCCCTTTGATAAAAGTCAACGCTGACCCCGCAACAAAATTAAAAAAGGCCGCAAAAAAAAAAAGGAAGCAAAAGAGAAATTTAAAAGAAAAAGTGAATGGATCAGCGTTAGCTTTTCCCAAAGGAGACGTGTGTGGCGTTTCCAAGGGCCATGTTAACGCGTTCCTTAAGAATCCACAAAAAGATCTTCCTGTGTTTTTTATTCACTGATATATTTTTAATCGGTCGTATAGACTAAAATATTCGAACACAAGAGATGAACGAGCTATGTCTGTGCTGAATGTCTTATCTCAGTAGGCCAGCCAGAAGAAGAGCCGTTTGAACAGAGAGTCCTCTTCAGCCTCTGTAACTGTCTTCTTAGCCATGGACAAGAAGACGCAGGCGGATACCAAGGCAGCCCCCGCGAAACTGTACTTATCCGGGATATTCCCGAAAAGGATGAGTTCCGCAGCGAACATGAACACAACATCCATCGCTGCGATCACCACCGACACTGGTCCTGCGTTTTCCATCTGAAGGGCTTTGATGAGAATCATGTGCTCTAAAAAGCTGAACACGGTGAAGCACACGAAGATGACTCGCCCCAGGCCGCACCTGGGCAGAACGTACTGCTCAGTACCGGCGGAAAGTAGAAGACACTCGATGACTCCCACGAAACCATACATGAAGAGTGTTACCGAGTGGTGCTCGCACCGGACCGTCCTGCTGATAAGGAACTTAATGGCGCCAAAGACCGTGGACAGTAAGGCAAATAGAATACCACTGCTCCTCATGGGGTCCGACTTGCTCTCCTTCGACGTCTGCGCGAACGGGAATGGCAGCTTAGCTGACATTATCAGTCCAGACATGGTGAGGAACAGGATGAGGACATCTGTGGCTCCGCAAGGCTCGTGGAGGAAGACCCTCGCGAGCGCCGTCACGAAGACTGGAAGGCATGCCAGGATCACGGCCACGTCGGAGAGTGGGATGAGCTTCATGGACCAGAAACGGAAGTACAGACCCGCGAACCCAGCGGTGGCCCTAAAGACCAGGTAAATCCTGTTGGACCTTTGACCCCACGGGTTCTGTCCGCTGTAGATGACGAGCGGGATGGAGAAGATGAGGATACCCGCTAGCCTCATGGTGGTGAGCTGGAGCGTCGGAATGTCGTAGAGAATTTTGATGAACACCGAAATGACTCCGACCAGCGCACTGTTCAGGGCGGCATAGAACATGCCCAGAAAAAAGTTGACGTTTTTCTGGAAAAGAACTACGGCCGATTCGGTAGGCTTCACTCGGCGCCTGGCCATCTCGGCCTCGATGAGGTCCGGTAAGCTGCGCCAGGAGGTCGGACCCTGCCTGTCGCCGGCCGTCATTTTGCGCCCCGCGCGAATCGCGGTTCGGAGACTTTGCGTTGAGGCGGCCCTTTTCGGCTCCATCTTGATGCAAGTGTCGGCTTGGGCTTGAGATTAGTAGCGACATGCCTTGTTCCTACGGAAAAAAGTCATCCCTCGCCGGTTCATGCGAAAGGCCAATAGACGTGCCTTCGGCGGGCTCATGGACAAATGCTGCTAGGAGACTTCCTGGCATCCATATGTGCAGAATGAAAACGTCAGAGCTTTCACCAGTGCGTTGTGCAAAATTGTTGGCTAATCAGCTCTTCGCCTATTGTGAACGAAACCAGTTATATATCATTAAATGTTCACACATTTTTTAAGTAGTCGGCAGAGAGCTGACTCCGAAAGATTTCTCGAACTTACCACGATATCAGATAGCTGCGTTCTCCCATTTGCAAGAAGCCGTCTTATGTCGTTTTGAACGTCATGCAGTGCACCATCAGGATCTCGGACATTAGCATTCAATTCAATGGCATCGTCCCCCTTTTCAGCACTGCTGAAGAGGTGGCGCCATGTTGTTTTGGCCACGACCTCTGGTTTTGGCACTCACATTGCTCACACCACGCACAAGCTAGCAATGAGTTTAGAGTTTTCTTCTTCTTTAATGCGCGGGGACGCTGCACTGAAAGAAGATTGAGGGCGCAGGTGAGGTGGTGAATATTCAAAAGTAGCGTAATGTTCGTCAATGCACGAGGCACATATGCAACGTGCAGCCCTTGGAAAGATCACGGCGGCACAGCGCAGTAGTGAGCTAGATTTCAGACGCCATGAATTTCCCCGAAGGGGCGAGCGGCACGTGCCTTGAGCATTTCTACAACAATGAATGGCGCTACTTTTCCCAGGATAAACTCTGCTAGGCTCGAGGTGAATATCAGGCAGTATAATTAAACCGGAGACCCGGAAACAAAGACACACACAACACCGTATTAGATACAGCAAAAAGTTTTATTCCCGCGAAAGACATGTGGTCTGTAGCTGGACATCAGACAATACGCAAGTCTATGGGAGAGACACACAAAAGTAGGTATATTGAAGCTTGTACGCGATGTTCGAAGGCGAGCATTTTATGATGTGCTGGGGTCATTATATCGACGGGCGCTTGGAGATCGAATCGGCATTCGTCAAGCGTTCAACGCCGATATATATATATATATAAACATTTGATATTAAAAAGAAATCAAATGGGACGGAGTATTACCGACTGTGCCGGCGTCGCTTGCTTCAATCACTAAATGAATGATAGGTTCAACAAATGAACGACCCGCTCCGAGTTTTTAAGTCCGCCACAGCAGCCCTCCACTGCAGTTCAAAGAAAAAGCTTGTACCGCAAGTACTCTGTACAAGCTCTTGAAGGGATGTGAATGCTCCCGTAAAAGCATTCTCTCTACCGACCTCTGATGACTTCGAGACCACGAACGACTTGACATTGGCACTCGGTTAATCAAATGTTCAATCAGCTCATTTTTGATGATCTTCTCTTCTAGCCCTGGAATGCAAGGTGGCGCTGCTTTCAGCACGTCTCGTCGCGGGGGAAGTGTGTGCAAGGTGTATGCACATGGTGTGTGTTTACTTGTAAATATATCAATAAAATGTAAACTTTGGGCTGACTATTGCCGTATCACTCAAGACTATGAAGTGATCTCTGTAGGAACAGGAAATGCTGTTATAAGTGAGCTTTATCGACCACCAGGTGACCGCAGTGTTTTCATCAGCTTTGCGAGTGGTGTTTACAGCTCGTAAATGATTACCATTACAATTTAATTTAGGGGGGGGGGGGGGGAGAGACTTCAATATAGATATAAAATAGCGTTTGTAAGCTTGAATTTAATATTTTAATCGAGACAAACGGATGTGTCAGCGTTATTAAATCTCCCACTCGAGTCACAGTGCGTAGTGAAACAAGGATCGACATTTTTATTACGAAAGTACAGCCTGATAAGATTACAGACGGAACGCAAAGGTTACAGACGGAACGATAAGGTTACAGACGGAACGCGATTAGTGACCACCTTCCAATATTCCTATGCTTTGATATCAAACCATATAAAAACGTTAGAAAGAAAGGAAGATTTGTATTTCAAGATATAAAAAACGACAGATTAAAGGAGCTGTGCAACGAAGGCGCCTCGACCAAAGGAGGAGAACTCACAGCAATCCGCCTCGCCCCCGAGACGGTCCTCGCACTCCCCGACCCGCTAACAACGAATCTCCGGATATTTACAGATTCGCAAGAGGCGGTGAAGGAATGTAGAATAAGGAACAGTCCAAGCCGGATAGTCCGCTCGATAAAGAAACTTGCTTCTCAACTAGCTTCAAGAGGCACCACCACAAGAATTGCATGGGTTCCCGGTCACGCGGGCATACCCGGCAACGAACAGGTACATCGCCTGGCCCGCGCGTCGCTTATTCTTCCCCGCGGTTCGGACGACATACCTGCATCACAACATGACCACGGGTACGGCCACGCTCGCGATCGGGCACAGGCCAACTGGGAACCACAAGAATATGATCCAGGCGAGGTTCGAGCCAAGATCAGAGAAAACTATCTAGCAAAACTCAAAGAGAAGCTCCCCGAAAACCCAGACCCGCTCCCTTGCACGCGTTTTGGAAGACGGGCGAGAGTTCTCCTGACTCGAGTGAGGACAGACACCGCACTAACACCAGCGCGCATCGCATCTTTGAGCCAAGGAAACAGATCCGGAACTTGCTCCAAGTGCAACATGCATCTGTCGTGCCTGGAGTTCGTAAACCGTTGCCTTCCAGCGATGTCTACACGCAAGTTTTTCTCCTTCGCCTTTCCAGCCCTCCTGTACAGCTCTTCGTACAAGGCTTTCCAGTCTGTACAGCTGGCGTCAAGGTGGACATTTTTCACTTGGTGTGGGAGTGTCCAGAATACAAAGACATAAGGGCAAGACATCGACCAACAGACATCGCATCTATGGAGGGGTGGACGCATCCACCAGGCTCCGAGAGTGACAGACGAAGAGTCTTGAAAGGTCTCCTGGATTTTATCTATGAGGCCAAGCTGGACATATTCATTTAGATTTAGTTACCTTTCCTTAGTGCCAGCGTCCAGATCTTGATATCAACGGCGCACTCCCCATACCCCCTTCCCTCTTTTCTTCCTCTTTTTTTTCTTTTACTTTTCTTCTATGGCATTAAACGTTTTCTGACTGACTGTGCAACGATATTCAGTTGGAATGTTTTTCACTATACAAGAGCTTAGTGGCACTAGTGGGAGTCAAGGATACTCACACGCAACTCCGCTGTCCAAGAAACTCCTTTGTTGCGGTGTAATTTCAAAGACAAAAGCGATAATTTTCATTCATTCTCTCTTTTGCAAAATTTCATGACGTAGCGTGGAGATCGCAGTACACCCATATGACGATATTTGAATGCTGTTCATAGATTGGACCCTAGCATTGCGTGGGCACTCGATTTTGGGCTCGTGATAATTACTAGCTCGAGCAGCATACGGGTAGTGGCCCGTGTCGAATCGCTGCAACAACGACCATAGCCGAACCATAACAATGCCTAGAATTCAGAGCGTGCCCTTTGCTTTGCCAACCCCAGCGCGTGGCTATGATCAACATTGGCGGCATATAATCGGCTCCAGATCACGTGGCCGCTTGTTCTGGCTGCGAGTTGAGGGGTGAACGCTGCTCGTTTTTCTTTAATTTTTTTCTGGGACTTCTATTGCGTGGGGTGAAAAACGAACGCGTGTTTCATAGGTCATTAATGTCAGGATCCGTTCTAAGCGGTATTTGCGCAAAGTACAAAAATTGTTAAATAAATTGGAACCCAATATACAACTTCGAAGATGTTAATCTTGCGAATAATACATTTTTGATGGAAGTTACAATTTGTCTGTGCGTGCGCTTGATTCCTTTGTGTGTCATATATGTTCTCTTCATTTCAAACTGTTTTCAACAAAGGAGATTGCTACGTAGAGTGTGGTTGGGAAGGGCTTCGTCGGTATATATAGGACGGTCAAGAAATAAACCAGTTAGCTGAGTTTGAGACGTCCCTTTCTGTGTCTGTTCCTTCTACTAAAAAGTTGCCAATTTCTTCCATCACAGTCTCGGGTGTTATATGACCTGACTAGCTATCACCAACTCGCCTGCACACTCACTGTCTTTTCAACTATCTACAATCGTCATTTTCCTTGTAAAACATTGAAAGTGTCTAAAAAGATCCGCAAGCCATGGATAACGCTTCAATTGCTAAAAGAAAATTTAGAAAAAAAATGCTATACCAGAACGTTTTTAAAAAAAGAGAACCGTCCCAGCTTTTAAGTTTCAAAGGCGCCCTGCAATCTTATTTAAGCGTCTACCTTTTTTGCGGTTTCCACGTCTCTTGTGGTTCGGGCAACCCAGCGGGCACGGAGAGAGTAACTAATGTCGTGACGTTTTTGGTCCTGACATCAGCCGAAGAGAGAGAGCTGCCCCGTTCCCTGGGCAGCTTCTCTCCTCGGCCTCACTTTCCTTTTCCCGTCTTCCCCTCCCTCCCCATATTATCAGTAATCGCGGCAAGGGGAATCCTCGCGCGCGGGAAAAGAGGGGACAGAGGACCAAGGAGATCATGAACGAGGTTATTTTTGCTTGTTTTTGTAATTTTAATTTGCCTTTAACTTTTAAAATAAAGCGAATTTCGAGAAAAGAAGTTCACTAAATTACTACGTTCAGTGCGCTCAGGTTCGTTGCAAAATAATTTAAAAAAAAAACAGTAAAAAAGTAGTCGCAGGGTCCCTGAGGTATATCGAAATCAATTAACAAAAGTACTACGAAATGCTAAGACTGTTTATCATGCAAACTCTTTTCAGACGCCATCTCCTCGTGCGGATGTTATCTGGAGAAAATTGAACTCTCTTTTAAATCGCGTTGGAAATCGACAGCCTGTAGAGAGCAATGTCCATGAAGGGGTGCACTTGGATTGTAGTTCTTTAGCTAACACTTTCAGTGACTACTTTGCAAGCTCAGTACTACCACAGATGCGTCTCAAAGTTACTTAGAATATAGAAATAACATTCTATTTTTCTTGAACCCGTCACGAGTTCTGAGGTTTGCTCCGTCTTCATGC